AACATATTTTTATATTTAAAAATCATGACAATGTACAATTTGTATAAAATATAAACACTCTGTGTGTGTTGTGTAAAATTAAAAATCTCACTTGATATTGTTTCGAGATTTTTCAACTCTAATTTATATAATGGTTCTACAAATAAAGCGAGTAAATAAGTTATTTCAATTGGAGAAGGAAAAATACTGTGTGATACTTTGCTTTTCCATCATTTTTCCGTAATATTACGCTCAACAATCGATTGTAATCTAAACTCCGGTCTTTGCCACTGAGCCGAATGCCTTTTTTTGCTCTAGGCAGCTTATATACTCCAGAAAAATCATCATCGCAACTACCTATAATCATCTATATAGTTAAAATAAATTACATATAACGTTCAGTGCGTTTTGTGACTTAGAGTATAGAGTGGTGTGAAAAAAAAAAAAAAGTAAGAAAAAAAAAGTTGTGCGCGTTCATCAATGTATTGTGTTGTATTATGGTCTAGCTGATCAACAGCTATCGGGTAGGGGACCAAACAGATAAACCGCCGGATTCTGTTCGTTCGGATCGCCAAGGTACGCCGCGTAGAGCTCCTGGTAGCGCGACAGCGTCAACCCACCGCGTCTCTTATCGTCGTCCTACACAGCCAACAATGAAAATGTTGTTAAATTAATTGTTGTCGTTTTACTCTCTCCGTATGCTTACATTGACCAGCTTGTGGTAAGCTTCGTCGATGAGCCCGACGTCGGCGATCGGAATCCTCGTGATGGAGTTGTACCGGTACTCCTCGATGCCGATCACTCCGTCTCCTAAACGAACGGGATGGATATATAATATTACACAGAGCAGCTTTATCGTGTGTTAGTTAACTGACGCGTGAAAATTTCAAACGACAAACCGTTCATGTCGACGATTCTAAAGTGATTGTCGATGAACGATTTCATCGCTTGGGGAAAGTCCCCGTACGACTTGCCGACGCAGCACTTCTTCACCGCGTCTTTGAACTCCTCGTTTGTCACCATGCCGTCCTGGAAGCACATGTTTTATATTATATATGCTACACGATGCTTCCCCGTGTATATATACAACGTACTTTGTTGAAATCGGCTATCTGAGCTATCTCGTCCCAGAGGGCGAGCATGACGTGCACGTTGTCCTGATGGGCGCTGTTGTTGAAGACCCCCTTGCCCTCGAGTATCGTCATTTTCAATGCCATGCACTCAAAGTCGTTCTGCTCGAGGATACCGTTGCCGTCCGTGTCTGCGCGAAATCACCAAAATTTAAGTCGAGTTAATTAACCACGATAAACACAGAGAGAGAAAGAGAGAGACGGTCCATATGCTGCAGCGAAAGCTCTATCTTTACCCTTCTCGTTAGCGCGCATTCGTGAAATCATATTTTGATGCCGCGTGAATTGCACTTTTTGCACGCGTATTGTATAAAATACCATATATTATAAATATATGCTTTCCCGTTACAGTTTTGATTAAGTGGCGATTCATTTATTCTCGTTAGGAGACGCGGGCGGGTGACAACTTGTTGAATTTCACGCGCTTTTTTTTTTTTCTTCTCTCTTTTCCACCTTGGACACCGGCCAATCGATCGGTTATTCATTTCACGGCTAAGCAGAGAATCGTACGTCATGTATATATTTCGAAGACGAGACATTTTGCCCGTCAAACGTATACGTTTATGAATTATTTGAATCGAACATGTTGTCCGCAAGCTTGTTGCTCGAATTTCGGGTGATTTATGCGGGTGAACACAATTTTTTTTTTTTTTTTTTCATTCTTAAGTTGCTCGTTACTTCTCAATGGTATAATGGGCAGGCAAGAACAAAGATTTCATGTATAAATCAACAATTTATTGTATTTCCTTGTATTTTATCGATCACGTGGATTTTTCGTCGCCACTTCATTTACCCGGTAACCCAATAAAAGCGTTGCCGTATATAAAAATATATGGAACGTCCTTGCGACAAAAAAAAAAAAAAAAAAAAAAAAAAGAACGGGGGGAGAGGAGGCGCACTCACGCGGCAATAATGACCCTCTCTTTTAGGTGTAACCAAAAATATAACACGTACATTGTACTTAAATTAATCAAGCTTCCTTGGCGCCGCGTATTATCGATTATATATACATTATGGACAGTCACCCTTTTCACACCGAGAACTTTGTGAGCGTTTTATGTATAGAAGCCCGACCTTTAATGCTTATCTTACTTTATCCGATAAACTTTGAAAGAAAAAAAAATAATAATAATAATAATAATAATAAATACCCATACTCGCTCGCCGTGTGGTGGCGCAGGTCGATAAAGCATTTTACTCTATACGTATGTACCTCACCTCGATGCCCATATCATTTTCATCATTACTATCACATGGTATATTTTTATATTTAAAAATCATGACAATGTACAATTTGTATAAAATATAAACACTCTGTGTGTGTTGTGTAAAATTAAAAATCTCACTTGATATTGTTTCGAGATTTTTCAACTCTAATTTATATAATGGTTCTACAAATAAAGCGAGTAAATAAGTTATTTCAATTGGAGAAGGAAAAATACTGTGTGATACTTTGCTTTTCCATCATTTTTCCGTAATATTACGCTCAACAATCGATTGTAATCTAAACTCCGGTCTTTGCCACTGAGCCGAATGCCTTTTTTTGCTCTAGGCAGCTTATATACTCCAGAAAAATCATCATCGCAACTACCTATAATCATCTATATAGTTAAAATAAATTACATATAACGTTCAGTGCGTTTTGTGACTTAGAGTATAGAGTGGTGTGAAAAAAAAAAAAAAGTAAGAAAAAAAAAGTTGTGCGCGTTCATCAATGTATTGTGTTGTATTATGGTCTAGCTGATCAACAGCTATCGGGTAGGGGACCAAACAGATAAACCGCCGGATTCTGTTCGTTCGGATCGCCAAGGTACGCCGCGTAGAGCTCCTGGTAGCGCGACAGCGTCAACCCACCGCGTCTCTTATCGTCGTCCTACACAGCCAACAATGAAAATGTTGTTAAATTAATTGTTGTCGTTTTACTCTCTCCGTATGCTTACATTGACCAGCTTGTGGTAAGCTTCGTCGATGAGCCCGACGTCGGCGATCGGAATCCTCGTGATGGAGTTGTACCGGTACTCCTCGATGCCGATCACTCCGTCTCCTAAACGAACGGGATGGATATATAATATTACACAGAGCAGCTTTATCGTGTGTTAGTTAACTGACGCGTGAAAATTTCAAACGACAAACCGTTCATGTCGACGATTCTAAAGTGATTGTCGATGAACGATTTCATCGCTTGGGGAAAGTCCCCGTACGACTTGCCGACGCAGCACTTCTTCACCGCGTCTTTGAACTCCTCGTTTGTCACCATGCCGTCCTGGAAGCACATGTTTTATATTATATATGCTACACGATGCTTCCCCGTGTATATATACAACGTACTTTGTTGAAATCGGCTATCTGAGCTATCTCGTCCCAGAGGGCGAGCATGACGTGCACGTTGTCCTGATGGGCGCTGTTGTTGAAGACCCCCTTGCCCTCGAGTATCGTCATTTTCAATGCCATGCACTCAAAGTCGTTCTGCTCGAGGATACCGTTGCCGTCCGTGTCTGCGCGAAATCACCAAAATTTAAGTCGAGTTAATTAACCACGATAAACACAGAGAGAGAAAGAGAGAGACGGTCCATATGCTGCAGCGAAAGCTCTATCTTTACCCTTCTCGTTAGCGCGCATTCGTGAAATCATATTTTGATGCCGCGTGAATTGCACTTTTTGCACGCGTATTGTATAAAATACCATATATTATAAATATATGCTTTCCCGTTACAGTTTTGATTAAGTGGCGATTCATTTATTCTCGTTAGGAGACGCGGGCGGGTGACAACTTGTTGAATTTCACGCGCTTTTTTTTTTTTCTTCTCTCTTTTCCACCTTGGACACCGGCCAATCGATCGGTTATTCATTTCACGGCTAAGCAGAGAATCGTACGTCATGTATATATTTCGAAGACGAGACATTTTGCCCGTCAAACGTATACGTTTATGAATTATTTGAATCGAACATGTTGTCCGCAAGCTTGTTGCTCGAATTTCGGGTGATTTATGCGGGTGAACACAATTTTTTTTTTTTTTTTTTCATTCTTAAGTTGCTCGTTACTTCTCAATGGTATAATGGGCAGGCAAGAACAAAGATTTCATGTATAAATCAACAATTTATTGTATTTCCTTGTATTTTATCGATCACGTGGATTTTTCGTCGCCACTTCATTTACCCGGTAACCCAATAAAAGCGTTGCCGTATATAAAAATATATGGAACGTCCTTGCGACAAAAAAAAAAAAAAAAAAAAAAAGAACGGGGGGAGAGGAGGCGCACTCACGCGGCAATAATGACCCTCTCTTTTAGGTGTAACCAAAAATATAACACGTACATTGTACTTAAATTAATCAAGCTTCCTTGGCGCCGCGTATTATCGATTATATATACATTATGGACAGTCACCCTTTTCACACCGAGAACTTTGTGAGCGTTTTATGTATAGAAGCCCGACCTTTAATGCTTATCTTACTTTATCCGATAAACTTTGAAAGAAAAAAAAATAATAATAATAATAATAATAATAAATACCCATACTCGCTCGCCGTGTGGTGGCGCAGGTCGATAAAGCATTTTACTCTATACGTATGTACCTCACCTCGATGCCCATATCATTTTCATCATTACTATCACATGGTGTATATATGTATATTAATTAAATGTAATGTATACAAATTAGGTTTCCCTCCCCGTACGTAGGTAAGTATATGTTATTACATGTGCAACGAAAACAAGGACATTTATCATAACGCGGGGAACGTGATATCCATCCATTAATTTTTTTTTTTTTTTTTTTTTTTACGAAGAAAAACCCACGTTTTTCCCCTCCCCCGAAACGGTTCGTGAAAAATGAACAAAATAACGGGCTAATATGAATATATTACAAAGCACCGAGACCAAAATAATTCCACGCGGCAGCGCTCGCGTCACGATTGTTTCCTAGAAAGAAAAAACAAAAATCTATCTCTTAGGTACCAAGGTGTGTCATCGGCAGATATATATTAAAAATACAGGAATTTCCGAAAAATCGTCTACAACATTGTAAATAGTAGGGAAAAAAAAAAAAAAAAAAAAAAAAAAAAAAAAAAAAAAAAAAAACCCGATTCATCTTCATTATACAGAGGGTATACAGTATGGACGGGGCGGTCCATCAGCATCGTTGAACCGCGCGTGAACTTGAAAAGCAGCGATAAACTTTGCTTAGGTGTACATAAATCGCTGCGCTTGACGATTTACGATCTCAGTCCGGTATATATACATGCGTCGGGTCAAAGTCGCGCGTGTACCTATATATTATATGTACATGCGAGAGAGGATTCAAGAAAAGCCGCGATTACGAACTACAGCGGAGGGCGAAGCTTTGAGTAATGGACCGTCTCTTAAATCACACGTTTTCGTCCTATCGGAGTCAAAACTGCCCCCGCGCATCATAAATACACATTTTTACACGCAAAATCGCGCGGCTTTTTTTCATCTTCTTCTCCAGATTATTGTTTGGCTCGGCGGTTGGTAAAATCACTTGTTTTTTATTCGATGAATGGATGATATATAACCATATATAATTACCGTAAAGGTACTTGACGACAAAGTTGCAACGATTGTCCCAGCTGTAAGCCATTATATCGCGATGACGAATTTATGCGCGTGCACTTGGCTACCCCGAGCTTTTGTTGTCTCAGTCAACAATTTGCAGCTAGTTCCCTATGAGAGAGCAAAAAAAGGAACATTTTTTTTTTATTCTTTTATTCATATAATGTGTCTCATGATATACCTTGGGGGAGAAAAAAAAAGGCACCGTAAAATTACAATTCAAATGGAGTTTTTTTTTTTTACAACAAAATTAAGTATGCGTGAGATACAATGAGCTGGTTGTCCGTATAATTCCAAAGCAGCTTGTAAAATCGAAATCAATGAAAACACACGTAAAGGGGAAAAAAAAAAAAAAAAAAAAAAATGTATTCTCCACTTGTTGCACTTACCTTTTGCGGCGCGTCACGCTATACGGTTTCGATGAAAAGCATGATCATCCGAATAAACAGCGATAAAAACAAAAATGACGGGCTACAGCTGCGGGGTGGCAAAAAAAAAAAAAAAAAAATGCCGGTCGGGTAAATCGGCGGCAATATGTATTAGTCGCTCCCAACAAGTATGAGGTATCAAAAGGAGTGTAAATACCTATAAAAAAAAAAAAAAATAAATAAACAATTGAAAATAAGGGAAAAAAACAAAAACAAAATAACAGTTATAGCAATCGTCAAAATTAATTGAAACACACACACACAGGAAAAAAACAAGTAATTGTATGAATGTACAGGTACAGCGAGTCGGCTCGAGCGAAAGACGCGTCCCCAAAGTCGGGCTAAGCACTGAGGTGGGTGCGACAGTCGAGTCCTATCCGAGGGAGCTAACTCGCAGGTATATAGGCATCTACGCGATCCCTCCGCGCGTGCTCTTCGGAAAGCCCTGCACCGGTGTATGTTTCACGAAAGACAGAGGGAGGTAGATGAATCGTCGCTCTCGCGGAAGAGTCCCCGCCCGTCTAAGTTTAGCTTTTTCTTCCCTCTCCCTCGTTTGCGCGGACCAGAAAACGAGCGAGCCTATAATAATATATATACTGTATCATCATCACCGTTGCCACTTGTACCATATACATACATATATATTTAGGTACCTGTGCTCACCCGCGCCGAGGATGACCATTGAAATTCTCCACCCCCTATATTAACGGACATCGCGCTCACCCAAAAACTCGATCGTCTTCTTGATTGTACTTTTACTGCACGTAATAATACATATATATATATACAGATCGTCTTCTTGATTGTACTTTTACTGCACGTAATAATATATATACACATTTTACCATATACCTATAGCCCATCATTTTAAATTGACGGGCTTCGTACAACAGTTATACCGGTTGTACTGTATGCATAAATATACATATAAATTATTTCGCCCGGTACGATCCATCGGTGATGAGAGAGAGAGAGATAGAGTGGGACCATTGTCTCGATGCACAATAATAATAATGCGATCCATGTATCATCGGCATCGTCTATCTTTTTATTATATTGCATATACGTATGGTATATAAGGACGCGAGGAATAGGATACAAGGACAAAGTGCTCGTTTATCACCGGAACCCCTGATGATACGCACTGCAGAGAGAGAGTGGATTCTTTGATTTTCGATTTGATATTGGGAATGTGCACGTATACACCTAAAGTGCAGACACAGAGTTTCGCGGAGGGCCTTGGATATTTTACACGCGTTTGTCTTTACCTTGGCGCGGAGCGGACTATTATTGAACTTGACTGAAAGCTCGCTCGGCTTTTTTTTTTTCACCTCGATTGTTGCGCGATCGTCATGATGCACTTACTTACTCCTCAATCGCACGCGTTATTAACATGGTTTTGGATTAAAAAAGCGATTCGAGCTGCTTGTACACATATTTTGCTTTTTTTTTATCGAGCAACAATCAACAAAGGGTACCACAAATCCAGGGAGAATTCATTGAGCGAGCAGTGAAAAAAAAAAAAAAAAAAATAATAATAATAAAAAAATCCAGAGTTCTTCACACGGGTGATGATTGAAAAAAAGGCTTGTCGACTGAGTATGAGAGTGGAGGAGGGAAAGAGAGCATCGGTAAGTCAAGAGGGGACGATTTTTATTTTCGACTTTCCCTTGATGGGCGTTTGGACCTTTTATTCGGTAATCAGTCGGTACACGCGCGTGTTTCTCCTCTCTACAATTACCTCGAAAATAACCGTGTATTATGTGTTTATATGAGTCTATTGGGGGAAAAAAAAGTGGGCCAGCTCATTGCGCGTCCTTGCGAGACCTCTTAAAAAGAGGAAAACCTGCAGTCGATAGTCGATCACCCGGTGTGTGTACCATTATAGCAACGTTTACACGTGTATTTATTACAAATGCACGACCTCGAGAGTTTTTGGGCGTATACGCGTGGCTTTTTCGCTAAATTCTAATTTCGCCCCGACATTTTCCCACCTCTCTTTGTTCGAGTTCATTCATTCAACGCGTTTTGCGGGGTCCTTACGTTTGAGCGCGTCTCGATTGAATAGCCGCATTGTTCACGCGCTTCGTCTCTCATCTCTTTTCGTGTATATGCTATTTAATTTAATTATTCACTGAAAAACATGTATACACACGTTTTTACGCGCTCTATGATGTGAATTGTTTTTTTCATGTCATTCAAATCAAAGTATAAGTATGTACTCTTACTTTTTTCAGTACCATGTAAGTACTGATAATAGAATATAATTATATACACTGTGTGCGATTAATGATGATTTCTTGGAATCTGCGATTATGTTTAAATAATTTTTCCAACGCTACAATTCGAATGACGAATCGTGAGTTTTATTTGGCGTGTCGCAAGTATATTTCATCGATTTTTGAAAAATAAATCTCTGCCAAAGCCGCTCCGCGTGCGCATGTTGCAGTTGTTGGATCTTTGTTTGCTCTTCAATTTACGCGTGAAATAAAACGTTATTGAGCAACTTTTTGACCCGAGCATTTGATGCATTAGTTTCTCCGTACCCAATACTGTCAGTAGAAATATTCATCATTCGCGATGTATTTTCATCGCTGTGCGCTGCCTTTATTTTCAAACTAAATAGACATTGCTTTATTGCTATTCAAATGCTAACTACATAGATGCTTTTATTATTATTATTATTTTTTTTTTTTTTTAATATTTTTCAGTTGGCACATTATTTATACGTGGCAATTGCATTGGTTTTTAAATGCATCAATGTAATAGACGAAATTTCAACAGTACATCAAGTTACTACGAAAAATGTGTGTTTAAAATTCAATTTAGTCAAATGCGTGGAGAGAAAGAAAGGGGTTTCGTGACAAATGTCAACAAGACTGATTTTCTTTTATTTAATTTTGAATATCAAAAAGTAAACACACCTGTTTCGGATGTCATAAAGTTTTTACTCATCGTTTGTTATATATTCTCAAAAAAAGGCCAATAATTGTATCAAAATTTCAAATATGGACAATGCAACTGCAAAAAAAATTTATGCAAAGTACCATCGCGTGGCAGATGAGGCGATGCACGTCGGGCCGCCCTTGGACTTATCTTTCAAAAACGCCAACTCATTAGACGGTACGATTACATAAATTTTCTAAGTTTTCAAGGTTAAAAAAAGCATTTTATCGAGTGGGAGATTTTTTGAAAAGTTTCATTAAAATCGGAAAAAATTTAAAAGTCTGTGGTAGCAAAATCGACTAACCAAATTGTTGCATTGCCACAAGAGAATTGCTCAATCGAAGAGTCCATGCTCATCGTACCGGAAAACGGCCGGACAAGTCGTGCGGGAATCGGTACCTCACCAGTACCTTGTGGCTGAGTAACAACCTGTTCGCCTCGACCGCCAAATTGGAGGATTTGGCAAACAATTTCCTCGAGAAGCCACTGGACCTCAGATGGCTTGACCTTTCCTACAACAGGATACACAACCTCGACGACGATCTAGTGAAATTCAAGAGCCTGAAAATTCTCTATCTTCACGGTAACGCCATCAACGACATGAAAAGCATCGTCAAACTTCGTTACCTGCCCAATCTGAGATCGTTAACACTTTACGGCAATCCTATTGAGAAATCGCCCTGCTACAGGCGATACGTGGTAGCTATATTGCCACATATCTCGAACCTAGACTTTTCACCAGTCATCGATACAGAGAAAAAAAGGGCGCTGCCCACTGGATTTCACAAAACAATACGACCAGCTTTATAAATATAATATGTTTATTGTACTTTCTTCGTTATTTACACTCTCCTTTTAAAAATACAATGGTACTTTTTCAATTGTCTAAATTCTTTTTTTTGTATCTTTCAAACAGTTCAATAGATTATACAATTATCATAGGACTATCGTACTTCATAAAAAATAACTAAATTATATCACACAACGAATTATGTTTGAAACGTTGGAGTAAATTTGTTCGTCCGAGCGGATAAAGAATACAATATTTACAAGTATGTGTGACGGCACTAACAATGCGTTGCTAGTCAATGTAATTATAAAAACGATTTTAATATAAAATCTTGGTAAAGTCCATTATTAATGTGTTTTTTATTTTTTTAACATCAATGGCGACGATGTTTGCTGCGATGTTTTGATTTGTCGGTTTCGCGTTCCCGCGATCGACTTCTAGATCGGTAGCGGCTTCTCGACGATTTGTGGCTACTTGATCTATGATTTTTTTTCATTTTCCGTGACGTTTCGTGACTGTGAGATCTGCTTCTGCTACGCTTTTTCCGTTTGGAATGTTTAAGGACGTCTTCTCTTATGGGCGTGTTTGATGCCGATTTCCTGAAAGTAACAAGTTTCTTTTTATATATCTGTAAATGTTTCAATAGTTTTTTTTTTTTTTTTTTTTTTTCCAAATGCTTCACAAGTAAACATTGATTCGCTAACAAAATTATAAATTTTCGGTTTTATGGAAATACTCACTTTGGTGACTTTATCCTGTCGGGTGCCGCGTGAGAGCCGGTTCTACTGATGAATCCACTCCAGGCGTTGTAAGACTTGGGCAACGGAGGACTCGGCGTGTGTCCATCAGCATCCGTTGTTCTAGATTTAGTCCTAGCCTCTTCGTACTGCTTTTTCAGCTCCTCAACGCGTTTTTCCAAAAGTTCTGCCTTAACTTTGGGCCTAGTGTACAGTCGTAAGATGCGCCTGCAAATATCTCTGATTGCATTTTCAGTAACTTCAAAAAGCCAATACCAAGCTGGCTGACTAGGCAGCGGCATTTGACGCTCGCGAGCGGCAAGGTAGATGCAAGCGCAGGCTACCGTTTCTGGCTCATATCTGAGAAATACGTCAGAACGTAGCGAGTCGTTCATATAATTCCAGCAGAGCTGCATGAGTTCTACGTTTTTTTCATAACCAAGCATCTGCAGATACATCACGATAATCTTGTGCGGATGTTTAACATGCACACAGAAACCTAATTCCTTGAGCACCCGTCTTTCAGCCTTGATCACTTGACTCTTGCGCATTATATAGTTCTGGTCAAGTATCACCGGAGTTATTGGTCTGAAAAAGAAAGAAAAATACCAAGATATAGGTGGGACACGTTGTTTACCATCATAAATGTCTTAACACAAGGTGAGTCTGATATGGTGCTTCCAAGATACAGTAGAGTATATACTAGCAGTATCCTCTTGGTTTATTGTAAAACCTTGAAAAAAACTTGTTATTATATAGTATGATTAATAAAATAATCATTTATTAAACATAGATTATGCATGAGAAAAATACAACCTACACTTTACCAACTTTGGGCTCTGACACAAACCATTACTACACACACTGTTCAATACTATATCACAGCTTTGTTTAGTGAACAAAATACGTTTGCATTATTATAATTAAACCTATAGACCTTGACTGTTTTTGAAAATACAATATTGCACTAAAATATTTGTATTCAACAAGGTGTCACATTGTCAATACCTATTTCCGATTGCGGTTTAAAAAACAAGCAAATCTACAAATATTAATTACAATGCATATACTTACTAGATCACCATTTGCTACTCATAATTAATTTTTAATAAATCAATTTTAATGTACCTTCTACTGTAGATTTTCTTTATTTTGAAATCGCGTAAGAAAATAATTAGAATTAATTTATTTAAAATTAATCGTGATAAGCATAGTAATAAATACACATTATAATCAATAGTTGTAGAAGTGAAAAAAAAAAAAACTTACTTTAAGGGACCAACGAAATAGTGAAGATATAATTCCTGAAGATTTTCGACAAATAAATGATAAAAATGAGAAACAAAACGTAAACTTTGAATAAACAAAAGATTTCTGATCACTTTTGAATATGTCAACAAATACTGCACTTATTTTGAGTACACCAATTTTTCATTCTACTAATAATCTATGTAATACTGATATGCTAATGCCTACACCTTTGCAAACCATCTAAACACACAATTTTCAAATTATAAATTATTTCGCGTATATTCATACAGATTAGGTAATCTGTACCAATTGTCCTTTCAATTTTGGAGTTGTCAGGCAGTGCCTCCGACTGTAATCAAGCAAGCTGATCTTGAGTGGCTTGAGAACTTCTTTTGTTGCTTACATTTGTTTTTATACTCTGAACAATCCAGAGCACCTATGCAGAACTCACCCTGTTGAAAATCATTAATAAAATTTATATATGCACACACAGTGATAGTGGAAAGCCTAATGTAACTTTTAAAATAAGAAATAAGTTTTGACCACAAATAACGCATAATATATGACCTCGTGAGATTATATATTACAAGCAACTACTTGTGTTATTCCTCAATGGTTTCAACGCAAGCGAGCAATTGTTGAAATCAGATTTAATTTTTTTTTTTTCTTTTTTTTTTTTTTTTTGTAACGTAATTTTAGACTGTTCTAAAAATATGTACAAACCATGATACTTACTTTTGATTTGCTACTTGTTTGATGTGATTGAAGACATTAATAACATCCCGTATGTGCCTGGGATCTTCCTCAATTTTGCTAGCTAGACATAAACAAGCCATTGCTGTGGTTTCCATATCATGCCTGACTAATGATTTACTATAATAAAATCGTTGGAAAAGAACTTGTCCTGTGGCCATTGCAACCTGAAAACCCAAAGTCTCCACTTACAACCTATTCAAACCATAAAAAGAATAATTATGTAATTAACGTAAGAATAAACGACGACAAGTATTTTATTGCAACGTAATTAATTTATTGAAAAATTGAGGTTAGGTAAGGACGAGGCACACAAATGGATGAGTCGATGCTCGAAGGTGGTGCGCACACACTGGTGCAGATGATAAGCGAGTTACGCGTGTACTAACCAAGATAGAGGGGCTGAGTGGGAAAAAACGCGGGTGGCTCACCTGGGGCAATTTAAGTAGAATGCCTGCGGTCTGAACGAGCTCGCATCCAAGGATCCTTAGATCGGTCTCTGTCTCGGCGTCCAGGCCATCGGCGCTCGACGGCGTCGTCATGAGCTTATCGTCGGACAACAGGCAATTCTTTAAGGTCAGTACTATCTTGCCGTAAGGCTTGCTCGTCGAACTCGGGGCTACCGATGGCTTTGTGGCCACCATCCCTGAGGTCTTTGCCGAAGCCGATATTACGTTGCTCATCGTCGAGTTTTCCTTGGTTGCACTACTGTTCATCCTGGCTGAGAGGATATTACGCGTTTATCAGAGTCAAAGAGAAAACACCACGGGACGCACGCTACACTATGCACACGTATACCTGCGTATACTGCTAAAATGGACGATCTTGATGCCACGCCACATGCGTTTAGCTTGGAAATCACAGGATAACTGAAGCTGGCTGCTGCTGAGTTCGAACTGAGCGAATCCAAAACAAAATGGACGAAAGGATAAGTAGAGGGTGGGCCATATATATAGAGTGTGTGGGATTCGTGACTGCAGGGCCAGGGAGCAAGGGGCGAGGGGCTGGGGGCTGAATTCATATTATAGGTGGCGCTTCAAGCACTCCAACAAATTTTTAAATTTTATTATTTTAATTTATATATATAT